GGCTGGGCACGGAGGCAGGAGGTGGGCAGGGGTGAGAAATGATGAGACAGCCTGGCCTGTAGTAGAGCGGGGGAGGGGAGGAGACAGATTAAGATATAAATAGGAGGGAAAGTCAGGAGGACTTCACGACCTATGACCTGTCCAGGCTGTGTGCGGGGGTGGGGGTGAGTGAATGAGGGCTGGAGCTGAGATTATCGAGTCCCCCAACCCCTCTGTGCGACTGATGAGAGGAAAAGCAGGAGTGGTAACACGTGTGTGAGAGAGATAAAGATGCGTTGATCCGTGCTGACCTGGAATGGTGGACCTGCTTTTGGGGGCTGCTGCCTGGAGACAGTGAGCATCCCATCGGGAGAGGTAGGCCCAGGGCCGTCAGCCTTTCAGGGGAGTCCCACTGCCAGGCAGTGGCAGGAGGAGAAGGGTAAGGGGCGGTGTTAAACAGGAAGGGGGGACCCTCACATCCATGTCAGTTGATTTTCAACAAGGGTGCCAAGACCATGCAACGGGGAAGGGTTTTCCACAGATGGTGCTGGGACAACCAGATTGCCAGTTTTGTGAGTGAAAGTCATTGCCCAAGAATGAAGCTGGGCCCTTACCTCACACCATATACACCAGTTAACTCCAAGCGAATCAAAGACCTAAACAGAACAGCTAAAACTATAAACTTCTTAGAAGAAAACATAGATGAAAACCTTCATTGGGTTTGCAATGAATTTAATGCAAATCTACATTGGCAATGGTGTCTTAGGTATGAAACCAAAAGGCAACATCAAAGGACACTATCAAGGGTATATAAAGACAACCCACAGAATGGGAGAAAATATTAGCAAAATGCATGTCTGATAATGAATTAATGTCCAGAGGATATTTTTTAAAAACCTCCTACAACTCAACAACTCAAGAAAAGGAACCCACATCAAAAACAGGCAAAGGACTTGAATACACATTTCTCCAAAGATCTACAAGTGGCCAATGTGGCCTATGAGAAGATTCTCAGCACCACTCATCATTAGGGAAATGCAGTTCAAAACCACAATGAAATACCACTTCAGACCCATTCGGATGGCTACCAAAACAAAACAGAACAGAGAAGTTTTGGTAAGTTTTGGTGAGGATGTGGAGAAATTAGAACCTTTGCGTGTTGCTGGCGGGGGTGTAAAATGCTACAACAACTGTGGGAAACATTCGGGCAGCTCCTCAAGAAGTTAAACATAGAATTGCTATATCCTACAAGCAATCCCACTCCTAGGTAGGGACCCTAAATAATTGAAAGCAGGGACTCAGACACTTGTATGCCTATGTTCATAGCAGCATTATTCACAGTAGCCTAAAGGTAGAAGTGACCCAAGTGTCCATCGACAGCTGAATGGATAAACGAAGTGTGGTCTGTACACACAGTGGGATATTATTGAGCCTGGAAAAGGAATGACACTCTGGCATATGCTACAGGTGGATGAACATTGAAGATGTACATGATGCTAAATGAAAGAAGCCAGTCACAAAAGGGCAAACGCTATCTGATGCCACTCATACGAGGTACCTAGAGGAGTCGAATCCATGGAGACAGAAGGTGGAAAAGAGGTTCCCAGAGGCTGTGGAAGGAGGGAGTTAGTGTTTCATGGGTATAGAGTTTCTGGTTGTGATGATGGAAGAGTCTGGCAATGGATGGTGGCGATGGTTGCGTGACACTGTGAATATACTTAATGCATCTAACTGTACACTTAAAAATGCTTAGCATGGTAAGCATGATGTTCTGTAGATTTTACCATAATAAAAAAAATAATCAATAAAAAGGAAGGCCCGGCAGGCCTGGCACTTGCAGGGTACCTTGCTCCGATTCCCTGGGCTCTCCCATCCAGAGCACATTTCCACCTTGGACATGGCAGAGGGGGCGGTTCCTGACACGCAGGCTGTGCTGTGGGGTCGTCCCCTCCCTTCCCTGAGAATTCTGCTGAGAGGTGTTGTCCCCAAACTGGGAGGAGCGCGAGTGGGCTGATCCTTGCTCTGAGGGACCCCAACCTGCCATTGCAGCTCCCAGCTGAGCGGGGGGACAGAACCCTGCAGGCCGCTCTGCTGATGGGAGCCCTCGCTGAAGTCCCTTCTCCTCAGCCACCAGCAGCCCCCCGGGCTACGTCTTTCCCCACTTTCCTCTCACCCGTCCGAGGGGCACCCCAGGCTGCAGCTTGTGCATTATGCTTCCAAAGGAGCGAGCGTCCGGCACCCCACCACGTCCCCCTCCCAGGGTGCTCCCCAGGGGCGGCTGGGAGCCTGGGCAGCCCGTAGCATTCACATCCGAGGATGGCTACTAGCTAGGAGGTAAGGGACAGAGAGAAAGGGAAGGAGTGTCTCAGTGGAAAGAAACACCATCCTTGCACATAGGCCTGGTCACATTGGTGTCGGGAAATGCCCTTTTCAAGACTGTGTAGTTGCACACGGCCAAGCTATTCTTGAAAGGATAGGAGAGTGATAACTTTTGCCTAGTATTTGTAGTTTCTTCGTTTTGCAATATGGAATCAGTAGGGAATTTTCCAGACTTGAGGTTTAAACACACAATTGTGTTTTCCCTGCACTGAATGGCCCCGACATTGGTGATGAACCTGGTTCCTTCTGCTATTTGGAGGAGTTTCTTTCTGAGAAGTGCAAAGAACACACCTACTGAGTCTCTGGCCACTGAACCCAGGGCCAAAGCTCGCGGCCCTCGGTAGCGGAGTGTCGTCGAGTATCTGGAAACCAGAAGAGCAGATGGCTTCCGGGAACCAGAAGATGAGTTGTCACGTCCAGGCACGGAAGCCAGTGTGCTTGGCTCCTGTCAAGGCTCTGGTTTCAGGCCCTGGTATGCAGGAAGTTTGAGATCCTTGTCTACCAGCCCCTGTAAATGAAAATCCAGAGATTAAAAGGTCCGGGGCTGGCTTGGGGAGGCCCTCTGAAAGCACCAGAGAAGCTCCTGGAACTCGGCACCCAAGACAAAAGAAACACCAGCCAGCAGAGAGGGAAAGCAGGCGAGAAGATTCCAGAAGCAAGGTGCCTCACTGTGTGACGTTTCAGGAGAAAAATGGGGTCGACCCCGCTGACAAGGAAAGGTGCCATCGTGCCTCGTGCAGCTTGACAGCTCCTGGTGCAGGGGCAGGGGTATGGGGCCCGGCTCAGAGTCCTCCGGCCAGTGGAAGGGCCCTGTGTGTGCCGGGGTGACTCAGCCCCCTGGGATAGGAGAGCCTGGGCAGGGAGGACTTCCGGGGGCGGGGGCTCTGGGAGTGTTTGCTGGGCGCAGTGGGCTTCCAGCTGGGCTCTGACACTCAGGAGCAAGGCTGGTAGGTGGCTCTCTGGGGCAGAAATTCCAGAAGAGCCTCCGGCATCTGTCTGCAGCATGCAGAGTCCTGGCACAATTGGGGCCTTTGTTAAGGCCTCATAACGTTGAAGCCATGGGGGACACAGGTGGGATTAGCAGCAGCCGTGCTGTGGGGCCAGGCCTGGACCAAGGCAGACGGGGGGACCTGAGTCCTGGCTCTGCAGGTGCCGCCATGTGTCCCTGCGAGGCTCACCCCCCCCCCGAGTCCCCAGGCTTCCAACCAGCACCTGCCACAGAGGACTGTCTGGGGGTAAAGGAGACAAAGCAACGAAATACCTGCAACGCGAGCATGTAATAAATGATAAATGCATACTTAAACACACGGTGGGCAAGGAAGTGCATAACTCACTTTAGAAAGATTGCTCACGAAATGCCATTGTAATATTAAGGGTTTTCATTTCATGTTGATGAAGTTAAACTCCATAAAAGGCTTCAGAGGACCCAGCCCTGCACCGCCAGCCCTCTCAGCGTGTTCCAGTCTGTCACCCCGGGCCCTGGTCCGCGCAGAGAGGCCCTGTCGTTCCGACAGTGCCGGGAGACTGGGATGTCACTCTCCTTCCTCCACAGACAGCACGACAGAGACTGTCCCCAGGGGAGGCTCTGGGCTCACACCTCTGATAAGATCCCCTGAACCTTTCCCTTCCCTCCGGGAATTCTGTGTCAGCCCCGTTTCCCCTGGCCCCTGTGTGGAGGTGGAGGCCGCGGTCGGGGTGGTGGCGGCCTTCCTGGAGCGGCTGGCGTCCCGCAGGGCTGTCAGGGTGGGGCCGCTCCCTCCCTCACCTACTGTCAGCAGCTGTTGCTGACAGGTGCTGGGCTCTCTGTGGCAGATGGTGACCAAAATGGGCTTGCTGGCAGGCTGCACCGCCCTCCCTGCGCACACCCCTGTGCACGCCACAGCCAGCCTGGGGCCTCCGCTCTCATGGCACCTGCCCAGGGCTGCAGGTGTAGCCAGAGGCTCGCTGCAGAAGGGCAGGCATGACCCCCTGGGCCACCCACTGTGGTCTGGCATCCTTCGGTATTTGGCCACCAGACTGCAAACCCGGCACATCCTTGTTCCCAGGCACAGCCTTCTCCCTCCGTCCCTCGCCGGTGCGCCCAGCACACGGCACGGCTGCGTACTCACGGCTCCCCACCCTGGATGGTATTGGGCCTGGCCCGCCGGAGCCCAGGAAGGCCAGGCCACAGTCGGCCACAGCCACGCGTTCCGGTTGCAGGGGCCGGACTGCCCTTTGTCCCCTCCCATCTGTTTCCCGGAGCGTGGTCTTGCGTGTGGCAGACGAGACTCACGGGTGCTGCTCCACCGTGGGTAGGATCCGAAAGGCATCAGGAGCCTGGTCTCTGTGAGACAGCAGGACAGGTCTGTGCCCCAGTGCCAGAGGAGGGGACGCAGTGCTCAGCCTCACTCCTGGGAGGGAGCCAGGAGGGAATGGGGGGCTCCTTCACTTCGAGGGACCCTGCACCTAAGCAGGGCCCTGCCACCCCCAAGGCATCAGGCATTGCCAGGGGCCACCTAGCTCTGCGACCACAGCCCTGAGGAGCCCCCCCCGAGCCGTGTTTAGGCTGCTCATTCCAAACAGCTAACCGGCCAAGGCAGCCAGATGAGGGGGACATCTGGCATGAGACGGTCGCCAAGTCACCCCTGTTCCATCACTGGCAGGAAGGGAATGAGCTGTTTGTGCCAGATTCTTGGAGAGAGAGAGAGAATGAAAATGAGTGCTCCATGCCCTACGTGTCTTCCTCGTCTTACCCCGACACCTCGGCTGTCACTCTTCCTTCCCGGGAACTTGGACGCCAAGGACCCTGGTCCCATAATGAAGGTATGGGGTAGACTTTTGCCACTTGGTGTTGATCTAAGTGCTGGAGCAAATCATGTGAACGGGAGCAGGGTGACAGGGTGGGGAGGTGAACTCTGAAGGAAAATGCACACACGCTCACATGCACTTACACACTCACACACACGCTCACACACACGCTCATATGTGCTTACATGTCACACACACGCTCACACACGCTCATACACACGCTCATATGTGCTTACATGCTCATACACGCTCACACACACACGCTCACACACACGCTCACATGCACTTACACGCTCACACACACGCTCATATGTGCCTACACACAAGCTTATGAGCACATGTGCCCACACACAAGCTCATGCACACACACAACACACACACACAGGAGGGACAGAGGAGCTACTCACTGGGCGTCTCCCTGGGTAAGGCTCTCTGCAGGGTGCTCTTCTAGGGAGCTGAATAGGGTCCAGTAAGACGACAGGAACTAAGTACCTTGTTCTGCTCCTCCCCAGTAGGGGGAGCTGTTGGTGACTCTCCCTGTAGCGGGTTCTTTGGGGAGTGACGGGCTCCGCCTGGTGCCTGTGAGCCGGGGACAAGGCTCTTGCCCATGCGCTGGGTCGGGGGAGGTGTGTTCTCAGCCAGAGTCGCTGGGGGGTCTAGCTTGGCGGGCTGAGCATGGTCTCCAGTGGCCACGGCCACTCTTTAGCAGCGTGACCTTGGGCAAGGTGCCTCACCTCTCTGATCCTGTGTTATTCTGGCAATGAGAATGACAGTCTGTCGAAGAGTGTTTTATACTTTTTCGACTAACACCTCTACAAGATCATAGAGTCATTCTCATTGTAGAGACGAGAAAATTCACGTGGAGAGAGGTTAAGTGACGTGGCCAGGGCCCTGCAAGTGAGTGTCGCCCTATCAGGCAGCTGAGGCACAGGAAGGAGGAGGGGTGTGGGAGGTGCCCAGCATGGGCAGGTCAGACGCTGGCAGTGGGTGGCGGGGCCCTGGGCAGGCTGGCGTCGTCTCTTGGAGTGTGTTTCTTTACCCTCTCAGCCTAGGTGACGTGGCAGCCTACCGTCACACACACACAGGTGGTCTTTTCTCACATATGAGCCATGTCTTCCTCGCTCTCTGCTTGTTCCTTCGATTTCTCTGAGGGGTGCAGGGGTGGATTTGTGGAACGTTCTGGACCAACTGTCGGAGATTTGCTTGACGACTGTGATTCGCTGTGGGCACGAGACCGGGGAGTTGATGATGTCAGTGAAAGGTGTCGCTCAGGGGACCGGAGGCTGGTGGTGCTGTGGGCCAAAAGAGGGAACAGGGAAGTCACCAGCTCTGGGGAAGGAAGGAGAGCGGCCCCAGGTTTGAATGTGTTGTGATTAAAGTTCTGGGGGGGAGAAGGGGGGCAGGCGGGAGTCAAGTGAAGAGAAGGATCTAGATCCCAGGACGTGGCAGGGGACAGAAACATGGAGCAGGAGTTATCATTAGTCTAAACGACACAGTGCCTGGAGTAGGGGATAGTTTATATTCTTATTAAAATTCTTGCTCGCTCATTGTATTTTTATTTTAATGTCTGTTTCTGCCGCCCGTGGTCGTTGTGTTCTGAAGTCTGATCAGGTTTCAATGCTGAGAATCTTGTCCGGGATCACTTCAGTCTCCAAGCCACGCTGGCAAGCGGATTAACGGATTGCAAAGAAGAAACGATGGATGTAAACTTACTAGGCTTTCGATTATAAGAAATGGGTAAGCTGATGAGCTTCGGCATCAAATTCTACTTTTGTTTCAAGGGTAAATCATGCAATCAGGATCACAGCAGAAAAACTGTTTTGTCACAAACAGAGAACTGGCGTCCGGGCACACGCCCCAGAGAAAGCACCGTGTCTCTGGGAGATGTGCAGACATCAAGGTTCTCAGCATCGTTACCTGGGACCACTCCTACTGTACATCTTTATGGTGACAGTTAAAGAGGAATGTGCAACAAAAGCATCCGGGTTTGCAAATGAAGTTAAGCTGCAATGTGAGTGAGGTTTGCTGTCCCTCAGTGGACATGGGACACTTTTCAGTGAAGGAGGCAGCTGTCGTGAGTGGCTGCAAACTCGGTTCCGGGCCCAGAGTGCCGGGCTCCAATCCTGCCTCCTGTCTCCCCTGCTGAGCGCTCTCCTTGCCAGAGGGGCCGAGACACTGCTTTCCTTGGACGGGCTGTGACGGGGACCACGTGGGACAATGTGTGCGCAGCACGCACGGTAGAGCCGGGCACAGAGGGAGGCTGAGTGTCGTCACAGTCACACGCGCACGCACACACACACGCACACACGCACACGCACACTGTTCCTCGTCTCCCAGACACACAGGATTTTCACGTTTGCTGTTAAATATATATCGATCGATACAGTTCTTCATAGAATAGGTCGCAGGAGAAAGATTGCCCTCCAAGGCCTGGGTGCAGGTTCTTCCCCAGGGCAGCACCAATCCCAAGCATGGCTCTGCGTTTTGTGACATCCAGGGCCCAGGTGCAGTGGGGGTGCTTGGCCGGTGTCACCAACGCTCTAGTTTGGAACATCAGACCGTGTCTGCATAGTACCAGAAATCCAGACGCCATGTGAAACTAAGTCGTTCATTTGGGTGTGCCGGCGGAACACGGAGTGGGTGGCATAGGGCTACAGTGAGGCAGGCTCCAGACGGCCCCACCTTTTTGGGGCATAATCCCTGCCACCTCCCCCCACACAGCGGGACACTCCGTAGCATCGCAGAATAACCAACGCTGAAAGTGAATTCATGCCGTGTATTATTTCAAATACATGATTTTATCTGTCCCTCGAAACAGTGCTCAGAGGTAGATGTCTTATCCCCATTTTACAGAAGAGAAGGCCAAGCTCAAGGTCAGCTGCTCAAGGTCATGCGATTTGGTGGAACCAGAGGTAGAGCTCAGCCCCTGTGGTCACTGACCTCTAGACAAACATGCTCTATTTGGGAACTCCTGGAGATGTCAGAAGGAATTCTTGATACATGGAGATACAAAGTGCTACTTTCAGTACATAGTGCTATTGTCCTAACTCCAGTTAACACGGGTTTTAATCATCTCAACTGGAAAGTATGCCGATTACATGCAAATTTAAGTTGTATAATTAGCTTGTGTTCCTGCTCGCTTCTCTTGAGGGAGTTTCTGTTCTTCCACCGGTTCTGAGCCTTGGAGAAAATGAACATTATGTTCTGGCAAAGAACTTAATCCTATGGCCTATTTGGGGTTCTCCGCCCGCACCCTCCCTCCCTGCGCCTTCCTTCCCTCGCTCCCTCTTTTCCTCCCACCTTCCAAAAACATCCCTGCAGTACTTCGCTGCTAAGAAGATTAAACAGCCTGAATAAGATCCCTCGATCTTATCTCCACTCAGGTTTTCATGTTGTTCTCTTTGTTATTATACTGGAAATTCGGAGATCAAAGACGCCAGAGTGTCCCAGCCATGCCTGCTTAGAAGGTGCCTGAAACTGCCGGACGCCCGGCATGCTTGTCCCCGGCACGCTTGTCCCCGGCACGCTTGTCCCCGGCGCGCCGAGACCCCACACTGCAGCGTCGCGGGGAAACAGCCTCCTGTGGGCCTTGCTCCCGGCACTCTCACTGTGTCGTTTTTAAGCTTTAGAGGAAACCTGACAAAAGTTGCTTTCCTCTCTTTCTTTAGCGTCTCTGCACAGTCCCAACCACGTGAGGTTGGGCGCTAAATCACCACAGCCAACCACATCTCAAGTGCATTTTCTCATGCGGCTCATATTTTATTTTATTGTCCTATTTTTAATTTCCTTTGATAATAATAAAAAAGACCCAGCCGTTTAATTCGTAGCCCCAGCCGATACCGCGTGAGGTTGTACATATTGCAGCCCAAGGGCGAGTTCCTGCTTGCAAGCTGCCCGGCCTGTTTGTGGTTGACAGATGTGACCTACCCCAGGGCCGAGGAAGTCTCAAGGGGGGTTTTAATTTCTTAATATCGAAATGAGCGCAACTTTTATTGTCTCAATCAGTGAATAAAAAAACAATAAAGTTGCTAAGTCTCATTTTTTTTTAAACTCAGCATAAGAGGATTTTAAAAAATTGCAATTGCCTTTGAGGTTACTGTTGAAAGTTAATTTTCTCCATGTTCGGGAAGATTCCGCCAGCAGCCCTCCAGATAGGTAGATATTTCTTTAACTGTTCTGCAATTAGGGTGTCGACATCTGCCCAAGCTGTAGCCCTGAAAGTTCTGCGTCCTGAGAAATCCCCGCTCTGATGGACCGGGACGCTGGCCACTGTCTACGGTCCAGGGTGAGACCCGTCTTTCCGGCAGCTCCGAGTGGCTGCGGCTCATCTGTACATGAGAGATGGTGGCATTCAGAAAAGTCCCTCTGCCTCCTTGAATTCAGTGTTCTAAACATAAGCATCTGACATTTTGCTTTAAGTTCTTTTCTATTCAACCTTTTTGGAACGAAGGATCTTTCCTTTTAATGAAATCTGCGTTTCATTCCCCAAGGTGAAGCCCGGTGTCCTTGGCTTTCTCTGAAAAGTGAAAAGTGGTTTCTTTTTGTGTACTAAATGCTAGGCATATAACAAAACCAGAGGTTGTAGTTAATTGATTGCAGATATGAAAAAGCAGATTATGAACTCTCAGAGAGCTACACAGAGAAGATCTGAGTCTCCTGAAACTGAAAGCCAGGAAAGGAAATCGTGTACAGGAAACGCCGTTTGAATTCTTTTTCAAAACCGACCTATCTCAAAGGAAAGATCAAACGAGAGGAAGTCCTTGAGTGGGTGATTGATGGGAACCAGCTTATGGGTGGAGAGTGCCCTGGGGCCAGAGCAAAGGCAGTGGCGAGTTTCAGCCGCACCACCCTGGGCTTGCCCTCAAGCCTGAGGTGTCAGCGTCTGGCCCCTCCTCAGGCCGGGGTTGCAGCGGCCCCGCCCTGCCTGGCGGGGTGTCACCTTTCAAGGTGCGCAGTAGAGAGGAAGGAAGGATCTGTTCCTCTTGCACACAGGAAATGGTGCTTGGAATTTGGGA